GAGCTCTAGACTGTTGATTTGACTTCATTTATCAGTTGTGTCTGACTAGAGCTCTAGTCTGTTGATTTGACTGTATCATGTCTGACTAGAGCTCTAGACTGTTGATTTGACTGTATTTACCAGTCATGTCTGACTAGAGCTCTAGTCTGTTGATTTGGCTGTATTTACCAGTTATGTCTGACTAGAGCTCTAGTCTGTTGATTTGGCTGTATTTATCAGACATGTCTGACTAGAGCTTTAGACTGTTGATTTGGCTGTATTTACCAGTCATGTCATACTATAGCTCTAGACTTTTGATTTGGCTGTATTTACCAGTCATGTCATACTATAGCTCTAGACTTTTGATTTGGCTGTATTTACCAGTTATGTCATACTATAGCTCTAGACTTTTGATTTGGCTGTATTTACCAGTTATGTCATACTATAGCTCTAGACTGTTGATTTGGCTGTATTTACCAGTCATGTCTGACTAAAGCTCTAGACTGTTGATTTGGCTGTATTTACCAGTCATGTCTGACTAAAGCTCTAGACTGTTGATTTGACTGTATTTACCAGTCATGTCTGACTAGAGCTCTAGACTGTTGATTTGGCTGTATTTACCAGTCATGTCTGACTAAAGCTTTAGACTGTTTTTACTAGTCATGCATGTCATCAGTGTGGGGTATTTTTGCTGCATTATAAGAAATAGTTCACTTCTTCACATCTTCATTTGGAACTAGTAGTGCGTAAAATTCCAGTTTCACCACACTTCAATATATACTGGCTACCCATGGTGATGAAAAATAAGGAATGTTTTGGAAAAGACAAAATAAAACAAAACTAGTTTCTTATAAAAAACAAAAAGAAGAAAATAGTTACAACCAACTGATTTCTAAATATAACAAAATACATTCATTTACTATAGTGTATCTTCTTCAAAAACACTCAGAAATAGATACCATTATTAACATATGTTTTAGACACTTTACAAATTTTAACTCGTAAATTCTTCGCTTCGTTGCAAAACCTCTGATCAGTTGTAAATTACAGCACACAAACAACTTTTTTATTCTGAAAATAGATGACTTACGATTGATGTATGAAATTTTATGATTGTTATGGAGAACTCCTTGATAAATACAATAAATCTGCTACTTTCATTTTGGCTGTTTTATTTGGTCTGACACTACTATACAACTTTTACTCCCTATTTTACAATTCTTTGGACAAGATTTTTGATAAACGGAATTATTTTGCTGGTATGGATTTTTATTACTAATTCTAGCAGTATGGTGCAAAATCTTATGGATATCAGAATTATAAATGAAAGTCTACGAACAGTTAGTCTCTGTCATGGATTCGGGAGCTGCGGTGGCTCAGTGAGTTAGACGCTAACTTGCTAACCAGGGTTCAATCCCAGCATAGGTCGAGATGATACCTTCGGATTTTTCAACCCGGTTTCCCCCTGTCAGTGGTGCAGGTAAGAGGAGCTGACATGGAATAAGCATCTAGTTGTTCAGATGGGACAATAAACCGAGGCCCTGTGTGCTACAGACTGTGCATGTTAAAGATCCCTCGACAGTTGGAAATTGAAAAAGAGCAGGTTTCTGGCAAAATTTCCCTCATTGCACCCTGCATGGCGTTGCCTGACTTCATTAGCCCACATAGTGCAGAAAAGTAGGACGTAAAACTCCATTCATTTTATTTCTGTCATGGATTCAAGTTTAAGCTTCCAAGACATTACTGTCTCATAACTGAAGGAAATTTTGGTCTTTTTCGTGTGTCAGATTCTGAAAATATTTTCAAAGATTGGTCTTCTTCTACAGTGTTAATTAATTATAACTTTTTTAACTGTTCCACTTGGCATTTTTGATACCTTGCCAGATTTAACATAGAGAATAATTTAAAACATGTAATTAATTCTTAAGTTAGTTTAAAAGTCATGTTCAACCTTTGATTTATGGTTTGATGTTGATGATTTAAGATTTATTCCAGGTTATGCTAAGTTTTCATCTGTTTTTCTGTTTGATGAGGAAATTAGTCATCCAATATTCACATTTTTAAAAAAGGTTTGTAAATTACAACCTAAAATTTTGACATCTTCACAATCCAATCAAATCAACTTTGACTAACGAGTCACATTAACAATGATTGTAACAAACTTTTTGCAGATTGAGAAATAAATAGAAAAATCGAAAAAAAAATACATTATTTTTAAGAAACATGAAGTTTTCAATCATACTACCAAAATAAATTGTACTATTTGAATATTAGTCATTAGCATATCTAATTACCTTTAATTTGCACCTTGTTTAATCATAAATCTCTACTCTGTGACCTTGGCCAGTGCTTTCATGAGACTATATTCTCATCCATCGTACATTATCATTGTACCATAATTTGTAAAAATATTATAAACTATAATCTTACAAAACATCATTTTGTTTGAAGTAGGAGACGAGAGATTCGCATAATGAGCACATTATGTAAATTTTATTCGCAACTTTTTCACTTCTTTCTATTGAAGTTAAAAATCTCGTTTCTTGTCACTTGTTGTAATTGTATTTGAGAAGAATAGCATGATAATTTTTTAATGTTGTTTTATTAGTTCAGTTATTTTGTGGGTTCCGCTTAGATAATTTTTATCACCCAAGTGAACAACTTTATGGGACTATTTATTAAGGACCGGTAACCCGTCAAGTTATTCGTGTGGCCCAGTTTGGGTGGAGTAACATATTACTGGAGCAAGTCCATTTTTGGGATAAAATCTGTGATTTTTTTGGAATATTTCTTCATCCCTTCTGTTTGAGTTTTGTTTGCATTTTTGCAAAAGGATTTCTGACATCAAAATTTGGTTTTTATGATCCTTTTTTGTTTAGTTTTGTTGCCTAATGAGTTAAAATTTCCCTATTTTATGGAAGTAAAAAATTTGAAAAATGTGATGTATTCATTCAAACATTTGTGGATATAGTAGGCTACAGCTCTACCTATAACAGGATAGACATATGACTCAGATGCACTGGTTGGGGCATCAATAATTCGGCTTTGACTTTGGGATTATACCAGCAAATTGAACTTGCAAACTCAACATCCTCAGCATAAAAAGGGATATTTGGATTAAACTTTATTAATTATATAATTTTTGAATATTTGCGGAAGATATCAAAATGTATTCGATGGATTCTCACAGGTTGTACAGGCAGCGTCCAATCAGTAGACACCACAGCGAAGGAGATTTCGAGGAGCGTCAATTTTTCCAGCAACAACAACGTCAATACTTACAACAACAAAACATGGCTCGTCAACGAACATACAGTGAGGTAAAAAATCAGTTTTGAAATTCAAACCTTTGTTCAATTTCTAATATTGTTTTGCAGATATATTATGCATTATTTTTAATATTTTCCTAAATCTTGTAGTTATTTCCAAGAAAACTCAATATATATTGACACACATTTGACTGTTTTCTTATAATGTTCATGCAAAAAAAACCTGAAAACTTTAATATGCTTTTTGTAAAAATATGAAATCTATAACTTTATTCTGTTATAACTACTATGTAGATAGATCATGTACATTCAACTTAAACTTAAAAGAGAACCCAAGGTCGGCAATAATTGCTAATCATTGTACACTTGGTTCTTGAGTTCTGAAGAACAGATCAGCCCAGCAAGCCGGCTAGACCACAAAACCACAGACTTTCTGTGAATGGCCAGAGGTAATTAGCAGACTACCATCTGGAGTAGATTATAATATAGTATACCAGAATTGATATAAACAGTAGTCTACTTGTACATAAACAACATGGAATCACCTATAGGTCAACTAGAGTCAACAGGTCAGATATCAAAGGTCATCAGGTCAACTCATTCTTATTTGAACTTTGATTAGAATTTTTTATGTGAAGCATTAAACTCACTTGATGTATCAATTATTATTAAGTGTTAGAAAGTGTGAATTAAATCAGGCTTGTTTCTTGACAGCACTACACTGGATTTAAAATCGGGTTCCTTCTGGACTTCAAGGGGATTCCATCCATGGGTCACCCACTACCCAGTAGTTGACAAACCAGTAGTTGACAAACCAGTAGTTGACAAACAAATTCACAGAGCTGTAGAGTATAAATGTGCTTCAGAACAATTCATGCCACTCAGATTTAAACACAAATGCAATAAGTCTTCTGGCAGGTAATGCTAAATGGCATCCTCCTCTTAGAGAGTCCACCTAGCTAATGATGTATACAGTGGTGCAGCCCAACCCCCCATCCCCATGCTGTTAACATGTGTGTCTGATATAAACACCATCATTAAGACAGGATTTTCAGAAAACAAGTGTAAAATTTCCACTGTTTGAACCTACCATAGTAAAGTTTGTAGTGGAACTCACTGTAATGAAGTTTCAGACAGCAGAAGTTAATCTGTAAAGGGATTGAACTCTGTCTTGACTGTTTCTAGAAACCGTTGTTATTAAACACTTTTTTGTTATGTTACCTTTTTCATTCCTTTCGAAATTCAGCATTCAAATATCTGTAATTTCTCCATCTCTGAAGCTTGTTTCTTTCATTTTATAGTGGTTTTAAAATTGCTGAAATATTTATGTTACCATTGGCATATTTCTATATGTTTTTTTCCAACCTATTCAGGTTAATGATTAAAATTTCAATAAATTTTACTCATTACTCAGTCTGGAGTCTGTTTCTTTTGAAACCGTCTGCCTCTATTATAGAATAAAGTGTAACAAGGGAAATAATCAATAATATCACCAGGTAATGGTAGAAAAATTGATTTTTTCATCATATGTTTTATGATTTTCAATCAATGCCTTTCATTGACGACTGTAAAACTCGTAAATATTATAGTAAACGCGACAGTATATTTATCATAACAATGCCTATTCCATCCCATAATACTTCAATCTGTAACAGGTGTGACGATTGGTTCTAGTAATCAAGTCATCAATTTTTAATTCGTACTTCAAGTTTTCGCTGTTTATTTTTCGTGGTGTAAGGATTAGAATTGATAATGTATGGTTTCCGATCTTTTTCTTGTGATAACTTTCGTACTCCACAGGAAAGGAATTATACAACTCCATACTCTAGGAATTATGGAACGCCAGATTCTATGAGCTATGGAGCTCGAGATATGAGATATGAAGCTTCAGAAAGGAGATATGGAACTCCGGATTCTATGAGCTATGGAGCTCGAGATATGAGATATGGAGCTTCAGATAGAAGATATGGGGCTCCAAATATGAGAAATGAAGCTTCAGTAACTAGATATAGACCTCATGATTCTAGGAGTGACAGTGGGGCTCCTGATATGATATATGAAGCTTCGGATATTAGATATAGACCTCATGATTCTAGGAGTGATAGTGGGGCTCCTGATATGAGATATGAAGCTTCGGATATTAGATATAGACCTCATGATTCTAGGAGTGACAGTGGAGCTGATACTAGGAACTATGTAGCTCAGAATATTAGAAACTATGGAGCTCCGGACTCTAAGAGCTATGGAGCACCAGATTCACAAAACTATGCTCAGGATTCTCGGAACTATGTAGCTTCCGATTCGAGAACCTACTCTCAGAACTCCAGGAATTACGGAGCTCTCCGCCATTCTAACACTGGATATTTTCGACCAGTTGAAACAAGTTATGTAAGTTTGTTTGTTTATTGATTAAAATGGAATGTTTCTATTAGATACACATTGATATACATCAATTACTATTATTAATATATCCTGTTTTGGTACTGATGGATGAGTGCTGGTCTGTAATGCATGCATGTGCATTTGATGAATACCATTTTTTGAATTTTGGATTAAGTTAATATCAGAATTTACCAATATCTTATCCAATTTTGACTGGTGTAGCCAGAACATATAACTCTATGCTCAGCTTGTTAAACTTCAATCAAATGTTTTGAATTTTTTTCACTAGGTGTAAATTTGTACCTTTCTTAGACAAAATATATAATTCTATCAAATATTCAGAGGTAATTCAAGTGTCAGGATGGGAGTTATATTGCCAGGTAACAGTAGACCTAGTTAGAAACAGTATATTGATTATTAGGTGAAGTATTTAGATATTGGCCTGATGTAGTATAAATATATAGATATATACTCAGAAGGTATGCAGTATGAACTGTGGTATTGCTCTATATATTCCACAAGACACACCTGTTATGTTTTTATATCTATATTTTCATTATTAATTATATATTATTCTATCAGTCATTGACATTTTCTATGGAAACATAAAGATACTAAAATGGGAATCTTTTCAAAATGACAAATTTCAACTTGTGAAACCATCATTTAACTTAAAATCATTTGGTGCTAGAACATTTGCATAATCTTCAGCACATTAATGGAACACCCTCAACATATCCATTAAATCATCTTCAAACTTAGAAGTTTTTAAATCCAAATTGAAAACATATTTGATTGGCTGCTAGGAATAGACTTATTGTGTATATATGTGGAAGACATTTGTCAGCGCTTTGAGCACTCTCCATGTAGAGTGGATTTCAGCGCTTTATAAATACAACTATTATTATTATTAAGGTATTATTATATACGAGGAAATAGAAGAAGTGAACGCACAAGATACAGGTATGGGCACATTGCAGACACGATACACTTCTACTATTGTCTACTGTATTAATAAACCAGCACAATACGCAATATAGGACACCAAATCTCGTTAATTCACAGCTTAATCCTGTCTCTCCCTTTCTCCTATCCTCAACTGAACTCAGTTGTGTCCCTTCTTCCTACTAACTCAACTCAAGACCGTTAATTTCCCCACTAAAAATAAAACAGTAAGAAAGAAAATAAGAAAATTTTATGGATAGATAAGACAGTGTGAGAAGCACATTGAAACGTTAATAATAATATAAATCTAGAAGTATCTATCCATATAATTGTCTTATTTATCTATAACTTGTGATTCTAATATACCATTGGAGGAATAAGTTAGAAAGAAGTTAATTTAATTACGAAGTTAACCTAATAACCAGAGAGAGAAACCAGTTATATGATGTTTATTTATTTTTAACTCTTACAACATCAACAAACATCAACACACATAGTTTTTTACCTGCACAAATAATTACATTTTTCTTACTGACGAGAGTTTTCTAGCAGTCATGTGATTCAACTCTGGTCTTCTTCAAACAGAAATTTAAAAATAAAGTTGAAATTTGAGAGTAAACCTGTTTGTGTTGTTATTAACTGTAGAGATTCAACATCACACTTTGTCTTTCTTATTTCAATCCAGCTTCTGAGATCGAAAGTTCAGATTTAATGTAAGGAAAATACGTAAACAATTCCTGTAACTGATCTTTGAGTCAGAACTAAATAAAGGAATGCATCAGGTGCTTGCAATTTTGAGCTTTCCTGATTTATTTTAATCATAAATGGAGAAGTGTTAAGTTTGTCCTTAAAAGCAAAGATTAAGGCTGAACAGAGCCAAACTTTGAAGATTTAATCAAAGATATCTGGCTGGAACATTTGAATCGACAGTCTAGAGCTTTAGTCATACATAATTGACAACAGTTCGAGTCAGACTTGACTGGCAAATAAAGCGAAAACAAAACTAGATCATCAGTTAGACATGGATGGCAAACACATTTGATACAAGAATCCTGATGTACATATTCTTTTGTCGTCTTTGTTGTATTTATTTACCTGATGTTATACCCATAAGTAACATAGTCAAAGTTTTAAAAACAAACGAGATATTGGTGAGTGCTTTCTAGTAATGTAGGCCTATGTAATCAGTAAAATTCAAGGTGGAATGATAATGCGTTGTGTTTTCTATTTGAAGTATATAATAATGATATAGCCAGGAAGCTGCGTTGTTGAAACGTGTGTCGTATTTACTAGATGATGTATCTCGTGAACATACCATGTGTTTGTTGATACAGGAGTATGCGTGGAATCTAAACAACCACTGAGATCCTCGTGTATTAACCGAGTGGCTTAGTCATCAGTTTACCATATTAAGTTGTACGTTACGATACAAACCTTTCTTGTCTTATTATCTCCCTTACATTAAATAAACTAACTCTTTATTACTCAACTCTTCAATTATTCTTTACTTTCGTTTTTTGTTTGAAGAATATTTTTTCTCAATTTCGGAGATAACTCATTGGTTATAAGCAAATTTTATCGACTACTCACGAGAACTGCCAGGCTATTTTTTTTCGTACTATCAGGTAAGGCAATAGATGTATTTTGTTGCAGGTTAATTAACGAGGCATCTGTTAATGAGGTAATTAGTATTCGTATGGTATTCAGGTGTAGCTCACTCGCTTGAATACTCGTGAGAATTCTGTTGTGTTGGATGTTTAGGTTAAATAGAAGCTACTTTTTAATTCTTAGGTCTTAAGGTTCTTTTATTTTGACCATGCTGATCTTGAATTCTAGAGAAAACTGAATTTTTGACACAATTTTGTTAAATAGAGCAAATTTGATTCACATAATCCATATTATATTAGAATTCGTTGGGCTGATATTTCGATTATTTTATAGTTAATTATAATAACAGGGTGAGGGCATATATTTCATCCCTAACTAAGGTGATAAATTTGCGAAGTAGGGTAGTGGGAGTGGGGTATATATAGGTAATTATAATACAGGGGGTGGGGCAGAAAGTTAATTCAACCACCTAGGTTTTTAGTCTGGTATTAATTAGTTACCTGTAACTAACACAACCACTACCTTAGGTAATTATATTTGAAGGGGGTGGGGTATATTCTCCCATTACCCAGGTAATTATAATACAGGGATGGAACAGAAAGTTAATTCAACCACCTAGGTTTTTAGTCTGGTATTAATTTAGTTACCTGTAATTAACACAACCACTACCCTAAGTGATTATATTTGAAGGTGGTGGGGTATATCCACGCATTACCCAGGTAATTATAATACAGGGGGTGGGGCAGAAAGTTAATTCAACCACCTAGCTTTTTAGTCTGATATTAATTTAGTTACCTGTAATTAACACAACCACTACCCTAAGTGATTATATTTGAAGGGGGTGGGGTATATCCTCCCACTACCCAGGTAATTATAATACGAGGGGGTGGGGCAGAAAGTTAATTAAACCACCACCTATGTGTTCAGTCTGATATTAATTATGGTACCTGAAATTAACTCAGCAGTTCCAGTAATTATGTTTATTTTGGCACCATGATTAGACTGGTGGAGGCATAGTTAAGTTATCTTGGTATGTCATTTAGAATACTGGAGTTGGTAATCACTGAAAGAGAATGAGATTCCATGACTGTTGAAAACATTAATCATGGTTCAGACATCTTTTTTTCACTTTGAGGGCACATAGAGCACTTTGATGTGGGGGTGACAATCCAACCTACTGGCTAATAAGCTATCCTTCTACCAGTAAATGGTGATTTGACTGTATCAGCCAGTCATGATTGACTGTTTAAACCGCTTCTTGTCGTGTTAGATGGTAGTCTCATAAAAGCATTGGCCTAGGTCACAAATTAAAGATTCATTTTAGTCTTACTTGTTTCAAAACCAAAATGTGCCCAAATTTATACTGTTGATTAGTCTCCTGTGGTTGAATTATGCTTCTGCCAAAATATAAGTACCTAGTCAAAATCTTCAAATTTTGTTGCAGTTTTTGAAGTATTTCTGATAGCACAATAAATATGCTCCTGTATTCAGATTGTATGAACCATTTTATTTTAAATATTTCTACTAATAATCACTTTATTAGAGTAAGAAATTAAGCAGAAAAACCTTTCTTGCATTTTTCCCAACTTAAATACATACAAACAAAATTAATCAGTAACAATTATACAAGCAATATAAAATTATTAACAAAAGAAACATGTAATAACTCTCAATCGCAAATTTTTATACAAATTTGATCAAAAATTGTAATTATTTGTTTTTGAGATGTACACTGAAATATTTTTAAGAAATGATTTGGGTTTGTTCAAAACTTGAAGTTAGGCTATTCCAGAGGCTTGATTCCTTAAAACTTAAACTGCATATGTCATATCAATGTGCATTTGTTTTAAAGAGTAAGAATTGTTACCAAAAGATGTTTTTAGTCCAAAAATGCTGCTGTAGGTTAGTTTACCCTGCCGTGGTATGATACGTTAATTGTTATCTCCCCAGTTTTTTGGCAGAAGAAAGGATTAGTTGTTTGGTTCTGGGATATCAATTTAGTTACATCAGAGTGCTTCACTGCAGGGTAACGTATTGACATGCACTGTAGAATATAAACAGAAGGTTATTGTGTATTAAATACTTGCTTGTATGTAGGAGGTCCAGGCTTCAAACCTGGTATAGAAATGGATCTGATTCAAAACATTAAGGCAGGGAGTCCACTTTATTTGTAGGTAGTATAAATAGTAATAATCATCAAAATATGAACCTAACCTGTAGGCCTTTAATTGTTATTACTATTTATTTTACCTACAAGTAATTTAGGGTTTAGAATAACCCCTGGATGTGCTTGCTTAATAAACATCATTGCTTGTTTATAACGGGGGGGGCATCCCCCAGAAAAGAGGCTAGCCTGGTATTGATCCTGACCCACTATCAAATTTTGTATCATTTTACATACTAAAAGAACGGCCTGTGGCACCCCTAGAAAATTTGTGGGGCCCCTGCTCTTCCCTCTTTAACTAAGTTTTCTGGAAACTCCACTGACTTGTCCTTTAAACTAAGGAAGATGTTGTGACCAAAACAAGATGTAAATTAGTAGGGAAGGGATATTTGATAAACTAACCTGGTTTTTCATGTTTTACAAACTAACACCCACTGTTAA